CATCACCTGGAAAGAATCATGTTTTTAATTTGGACTTTTAACTATTTGTCAGGTTCTCCATAGTGCTTCTCTGGTGACAGTAAAGAATCTGCCTGCAATGCAGGAGACCAGGTTTGATCCCTGGATTGGGATGATCCCCTGGAGAAGGGAATGGCTACCCACTCCAGTATTCTTGCCTGAAGAATTCCATGGACAGAGGAGCCTGATGGGCTACAGTCCATGGGGGGTCACAAAGAATCAGACATGACTGAGCAACCAGCACTTTTACTTTCAGGTTCTCCTTCCTGGACTCTGACTGAAGTCATGGTCAGTTATGAGGACTTATAAAATGTGTTCATCTCAAACAAACTGAAAATGAAAATGGAGGTCACAAGTTCAAGAAAGCAATATTAGAATAATTTTTATTAAAAAGAATTGTATATACTTGGTGGCATTAGGATGAAGAAGGATGGAAAGAGTGCAAAGTAAGCTAAAAGTTATGTAAACATGTAGAGATAATACTGGGGTCAGACTAAGGGTTAATCAGTGAGTTTTCTATCCATTGAATGTATCATTTCATCCCACCAACACTGAAAATAGGCAGGAACAGACTGATATTGCTACTTCTTGTCATAACTGGCTTTAAAGAGGCTTTGCATCTGTTAGACTTTACATACATGTAGTAAAGAATATGATGACTGTTGTGTATTTGGGGTAGGCTTCACAACAGTGGAAAACAAACTGTTCATTATGCATGTCTGAAGCAGTGGCGCTAATTTCCAAAACACAGAGTAGTTGTGAAATTAAGTGACATAATATAGATAATGTTTGGTAAGATAACTATCCACAAATAGGTGCTAATCAAATGAGTGTAATTAGCTTTCAGAATGTCTACCTCTGACATAGATGGTGATAATTGGGAGGAAGGGACAGGGGAGAGAGGATAGGCAAGGTTTAGGCCAAAAGATGACACCACCCTTCTGGCGGAAAGTGAAGAAGAACTAAAAAGCCTCTTGATGAAAGTGAAAGAGGACAGTGGAAAAGTTGGCTTAAAGCTCAACATTCAGAGAACTAACATCATGGCATCCGGTCCCATCACTTCATGGCAAATAGATGGGGAAACAGTGGATGACTTCAGTTTTGGGGCCCCAAAATCACTGCAGATGGGGACTGCAACCATGAAATTAAAAAATGCTAACGCCTTGGAAGAAAAGTTATGACCAAGCTAGACAGCATATTAAAAAACAGAGACATTACTTTGTCAACAAAGGTCCATCTAATCAAGGCTATGGTTTTTCTAGTGGTCATGTATGGATGTGAGAGTTGGACTTTAAAGACAGCTGAGCACAGAAGAATTGATACTTTTGAACTGTGGTGTTGGAGAAGACTCTTTTTTTTTTTCCATTTATTTTTATAAGCTGGAGGCTAATTACTTTACATCATTGCAGTGGTTTTTGTCATACATTGAAATGAATTAGCCATGGATTTACATGTATTCCCCATCCCGGTCCCCCCTCCCACCTCCCTCTCCACCTGATCCCTCTGGGTCTTCCCAGTGCACCAGGCCCGAGCACTTGTCTCATGCACCCAACCTGGGCTGGTGATCTGTTTCACCCTAGATAATATACATGTTTCGATGCTGTTCTCTTGAAACATCCCACCCTCTCCTTCTCCCAGAGTCCACAAGTCTGTTCTATACATCTGAGTCTCTTTTTCTGTTTTGCATATAGGGTTATCGTTACCATCTTTCTAAATTCCATATATATGTGTTAGTATACTGTAATGGTCTTTATCTTTCTGGCTTACTTCGCTCTGTATAATGGGCTCCAGTTTCATCCATCTGAGAAGACTCTTGAGAGTCCCTTGGACTGCAAGGAAATCCAACCAATTCATCCTAAAGGAAATCAGTCCTGAATATTCACTGGAAGGACTGATGTTGAAGCTGGAAACTCCAATACTTTGGCTACCTGATGCGAAGAGCTGACTCATTGGAAAAGACTGATGCTGAGAAAGATTGATGGTGGGAGGAGAAGGGGACGACAGAGGATGAGATGGTTGGATGGCATCACTGACTCAATGGACATGAGTTTAAGTAAATTCCAGGAGTTGGTGATGGACAAAGAGGCCTGGTATGCTGCAGTCCATGGGGTCGCAAAGAGTCAGACATGACTGAGTGACTGAACTGAACTGAACTGAGGCTGAAAGAAACCTGAAATAATTTTTAATCAAAAATTAAATGACATCAACTGATTTACTCTCAAACTTCAGCTCTATTATGCCATTTGTGAGCTTTTCCAAGAAATTAAAACTCTCCCTTACAACATCATTCAAGTATTTTCAATTTTACCAAGCACTTTTTCTCTCAGACTTTGCATTCACAAAGTCTAAATTGTTAACATCCAAATCACTGAGTTTACTTTAAGGATTAAGCAAAATAGTAAAGAGTAACTAATAAAGTCAGTTTGTAAGGCCCTACCTTTCTGTTTTCTCCTGAGCTTAAGTGGATGGGCGACCAAGTACACCTATTTATTGATTTAACAAAAGTTTATGGAGCTCATACTACCTGCCCAGGTGTCAGGTACCAGGCACACTGTGATAATAAAGACAGCCCCTTGGCTGAAAGAGATGCAGGACAAGTGATATAGTGATATCCATTTAAGAAAGCAGGGTTGAGACAACGATTTGAAACCAGAAAGTGAAAATGTATTCTTTCACGCTGTAATTTATCATCACGTGTGCAGGGTGCTCTGAGTACAGCCATGGAGCAGCCCTAACCAGGAGGAGCTGCCAAACTTCAGAAAGTAAACACACTGAAGGCACAAGGTGGAGCGGATGGTGGGTAGTTGAAACAACAGCCTAGGAACAGGCCACCAGGATGGGACCACTGAGCGGGACGCCCTGCCTGGCTGTCCCCTCCGTGAACCTGGGGATCCCACCCTAGTGGACCCTCGCCCCCTTCCTGCTAGGAATCTGGGAAGGAGGGCCAATCCATCAGAGGGCAGCAGGCGCTCACCTTGGTGCTGCAAGGACGTGATGACCTCCAGCTGGTAATTGTGTCTACACACCGTGTCCAGCTCCGCCCGGGTCTGCTCCAGGATATCTTTCTGGCTGTTCCAGTACTCAGCCAAATACCACCCTAGTGGGGTCACAGCCCGGTACTCTCCCACGTTGCTGTCGTAGTACGCGGTCTCCTCCTGGTTGTAGATGTATCTGGTCACGAACCGCACCCGCTCCGTGCCATTAGTGAAGTAACACTGGGCCATATAGAGGACCACGGTATCTTCTGTGGGGAGACAGCCGCTCAGTCAGGCCTCAGCCCCATAACCCCACTTGGCGGCCACCAGGCAGGCAGGAGAGGAAGCTGTCCGCCTCCATCAGTTGGCCAGGGTGCTAAGTCCTGTCCAACTCTTTGTAACCCCATGGACTGTAGCCTGCCAGGCTCCTCTGTCCATGGGGATTCTCCAGTCAAGAATACTGGAGTGGGCTGCCATTCCCCTCTCCAGGGGATATTCCTGACCCAGGGATGGAACCCACATTTCCTGCGTCTCCTGCATTGGCAGGTGGATTCTTTACCACTGAGCCACCTGGGAAGATCGCCAGTTGGGTAACAAAAACCTGAAACTGGCCACTTAATCTTGGGTTCCCAGCCCAGCCCGGCCCTGCGCTGCCTGCTCCAGCCCATGACCCTCCAGACAGCTCTTCCCCAAGCCTCCCACCCCCTCTGAGGGCTTCCAGGATGGCCTTCCAGTAGGGGGATCTGTCATTGAGGTGGCCCTGTGATCCCTGCTGAGACTAAGAACCAAGTAAGGAGGGCAGTCTGATTAGTTTTACATGCATGTCTGTACTTAGAGGTTCTCATCAGAAATCTCATCACAGCCCCCCCACCCCCACCCCATCCCCGAAATCCTGGGAACTTCAGAGACAAACGAGTATCCACATAAGCAAAATAGTTCACGGGAACAAGGAAAGAGGTGGAGAATGAAGCTTGTCCTCATCCTGACAGGCATATTCTCTTGGTCCCTGGTAAAATGCCTTTCTTCCCATGCCTCGGTTTACTCTGAGTTTCTGCCACCCCTGCACTACCTTGGCGTTAGAAGAACCAGCACCACCCCAGTCCTAAAAAGGACAGTTTATTCATGGAAAGATTACAGACTTTCAAATTAGCTTCCAATTAAACTGGAACAATTACCAGCTTAACAGAGTATCTGTATCTTAAGTATAATCGTGTAAAAAGAAAGTCATTATACCTAAACATGTGGCTTTTAGGAAGATTGAGAGAGAATTTATATAAAGATAATAATCTTGTGTCTGGAATGAATGCCTTCTCTCTCTCTCTCTCTCTCTCTCTCTCTATATATATATATATATATATATATATATATATATATAAGAAGGGATATATCTCTTCTTATGTTCTCCTTTCTCCTAAATCCAGTCCATCCTCAACTCAAGTCTCTGAGTCCCACTCAAGTCATTATTTGACCATAAATCTTGAAGTTAAGATTCTGTGGTTACCCAGGCAGCTCCACTCCAATACCAAGGTTTTAGTTCCACGAACCCTTGACTCAGAGTCAGGAATGTAAAGTTTTTCCCTCAAATTCTGAGATACAGAGACCACTGCTGCCCTACACATCCCCAACCCAGGGTCCCATAGTATTTAGTCCAGACAAGATCTTGAGGAATCTTGAAATGATAGAAATCCTGTTGTGTCATCTTTGGAGAAATTCACATCTTTAAAAAAAATACCCATTCTCACTTTGTCCCAGCACTTGCAGTAGATACACACTATATCTCCTCCTCCCTGTTATAACATCCCCAGGTTTAAACTTGTGAGAGAAGAATTGTCCTCACCTTGTCATTAGAAGGTAGAAATGAGAATGCAACATAGCTCTTATTCCCAAAGGGAAAGGGAAGAAATGTGTGATAAAAGACAGTATTCTGAGATCACATCCCAGCTCAAGCGTCCCTCAGAGCCTGCTCCCCAGAGTGGTGGCTCCGGGGAGCAGCTGCCCTGCACTTACGTGGAGAGTCTCTGCTCTCAGCCCCTGGGGTGCTCAGCACCGCCAGTGTCACCATCAAAGCTGCTGTCCAAAGGCCTCTGGGGATCCGCAGAGCCACCATCCCAGATAATTGAGAACAAAGGAAGAAGTAATGGTAGTCAACACAGCTCAAACCCAGTGGATCTGATGAGCCCATTTCACAGAATAAAAGCCTATGAGAGCTCACACGTATGGCAGGATTGGAGAGTCTCTAGGAAAGAAACCAATCAGCTGACAGGAACCAATCAGCTGAAGTACCTCATCTGTTTCTGGGCAGATATTTTTTTTGGAGGTTCTTTAAATCTAATGGCTGGCACTATGTCCTCATCAAATTACACCGGATTGGGATGAATATTTTCTCTCAGTCGTAAAAGATCTGAAGATTGAATGCCGTAGGTTTTTAAAGAACAAAAAGAAAAGAATTTATTTAAGAGTAGACATCTCTATGATATTTATTTAAAATCTATTATTCTTGAAATTAGGGTAGGGGAAACTAAACGGGGATTATATTTCAAGAAGAGAAAATTATTGTCACAGAGCTGTTCACTTTTATTATCTTGGACACTCTGAGGATCCTTACATTGTGGTGAAGAGAGCAGAATTCTTGAGGGAAATTGTTTTAGCATTGATGCAGTTTATGAGAGTGAACAAAATACAGAAACTGTTTGCCTCAGACTTCTCTTTATAAAATGTGAATCATATTTCATACATTTTATATCTAAACCTTCATATATACAAATTCAAGAGTAATAGGACTTGTTTAATATTGCAAAATGTTCTTCAACTGCCATGTGTAACAGTTGCCAATAACAGGATAATATGTAAAACAAGAAAACAAGCCAAAAAAAGAAAAAATTAAAACCAGAACTAACCTGGCAGTCCAGTGATTAAGACTCTGCCCTTCTACTGCAGAAAATGTGGATTCAATCCCTGATTGGAAAACTAGACTCCTGCATGCCACGAGGCATGACCAAAAAAAAATTTTTAATGTTTTTTAAATGACAGTCTTGCTGGCAAGTGGATTTTTCATTATACAAGAATCGATGGCATTTATGCTCTTTGAACGAAAATATTTGGACAGTTTTGACTTTTCTCTTAAAATCCCTTCAGTTGCTCAAATCCCCCCTCAGGGGGTGGGGGGGACCATCTAATGTCAGCAAAGGCACAATCCACAATCCACAAGCATTAATAGCATTCAGAGGTAGTCACCTTCAGTTTTGAGAACAGAGAGCAAAATGTGTGGAGAAGCACCTCCTGGGGCTTGAATAGTGTTAATGATGGAACAGATGCTTAGAGTGCTATGCCAGCCCTAAGCATCAAATCCTCAACAGCAGAACTATCAAGGTGTTTTATTAAATAAATGTATTATTTATCAGACTCCTCTTGCCCATGACTAGGGGCAGTATCAGGTGTTTATAGAGCAATTAGACTGTGCCTGGAAAACATTGATAAACAAGACAGTTAAGTATCTCTCCCGCTAATCTCACTCTTTCCTGAATTTTAGGTTCCTCTTTCAAAACAGAGAATAGGATCTAAAAGCAGAACATCAAGAGTTTTCTGGGTAAAACAAAATAAGGAAGAGACAACAGCAAGAGGTTTCTGTTAGTGGCACATGAAGGCAATGGGTCATTTCAATATTCTTAATTAGGTGCATAGTTCCAGGGCACCTGAGACTGGGAATCTGTCACTGGGCTTCCACCTACAGTGGTGCACTCAGGACCAGGATAGCTCCAGAGCTAGGATGGTTTCCAGGGTGGATGAAAACATAAAGGAAAAACAGCAAACTCAAACCAGTGATTAGGTTGAAGGGAAAACAAAGAAAGTCAGAGAGGGATTTTGAAGGTGCCTCAGTTCCCTCAGATTACATCTCAGGGTCCCTGGGATTAAACAGGGGCTTCTGGACCTTCCTCTCCCTCCTGTCCTAAGGGGGAAATTCCCTCTGCTCTGTTCTGGGGCTGTGCAGTGGAGGCTGTGTCAGACCAGGGGATTGTCTGATTTCATGGGCCTCTTTACACAGACTTTTCTACTAGCAATGATAGTGTCAGCTTAAAATCCTTTTTCTGATTGGCTCAAACCTCATCTGCAAGGCTGTGGTTTGGACTTCTGCCTGCTGCTTCCCCCAAGCCAGGGAGCATTCTCTACATGCTCTAGGGTTCTCTGAACTGTCCTTATCTCTGCTGAGTTACTCAGGGCAGTCACTGCTGCCTGGCCTGAGAAGAGAGCACACAGACAAACATTCTGATTCCAGGTATTTACATGAATCTCCCTGTGGAGGCAAGAAGCTTAGCATGAGGGCAGTGTGTACTCCCTTTGAGCAGATGCTAGGATCAAGAAACAGTCATTGATGAGGGTCAGGGCCACTCTAGGAAGACTGTCTTGGTTCATCCTCTGTTCCCTCAGAGTGGGAGACAAAAGCTACTTCCTGTGGAAATTCAGGGAGAAATCATCTTCCCTGGTCAGCATGCCTTGGAATCTGTACTTGGTCAGTGGGGTTAACTGTGAAAGTAATAATCATTTTTTCACCATAAGAAACATCCAGGACCCTATTCTGCATTCAATTCAGGACACAAAATAGTAATACATTGCATATTTTAAAAGATTCCATGACCTCCTTAATACCAGTAGCAGTATAATTAGAAATAATTCTCCAGAATATTATTTCCCTTTAATAAGAATTTATCAAGCCATTATTCCTAAGGATTTTCAAATCCTTTTAAACCTACTCACATATGTTCCCTATATGATCACTTAAGTAACCAGTTATTTGAATTTTTCATGATATATATAAAGTAAGTCCTTTCTCTTTGCACAAAGTTATCTCTTTAAAATCACATTTTACAGACTCTGAAGAGTCAAATTAGTAGCAGAGTGACCATGTATAAGCCATTTTAGTTCTGAAAGACTTAGTTTTGCTTCATCTGCAGAAAAAAGTACACACATCACAGGACCACTTCATGAACACAGGTAAGATTTGTAAAAGTCAACTGCATTCTATGATGAGTTACATACACATTAGTTTTTAATATAATAGTAGTAAGTTCATCTTTCTTGCCTTTTCACTGTGTTCATGGGGTTCTCAAGGCAAGATAATACCACTTTAATAGCAGAAAGTGAAGAAGAACTGAAGAGCTTCTTGATGAAGGTGAAAGAGGAGAGTGAAAATACTGGCTTAAAATTCAGCTCTCAAAAAACAAAGATCATGGCATCCAGTCCCATCACTTCATGGCACATAGATGGGGAAAAGTGGAAACAGTGACAGATTTTATTTTCTTGGGCTCCAAAATCACTGTGGATGGTAACTGCAGCCATGAAATTTAAAGACACTTGCTCCTTGGAAGAAAAGCTATGACCAACCTAGAGAGCATATTTAAAAGCAGAGATATCATTTTTCCAGCAAAGGTCCATATAGTCAAAGCTATGGTTTTTCCAGTAGTCCTGTACAAATGTGACAGTTGACCATAAAGAAGGCCAAGTGCCAAAGAATTGATGCCTTTGAATTGTGATGCTGGAGAAGACTCTTGAGAGTTCCTTGGACAGCAAGAAGATCAAACCAGTCAATCCTTAAGGTAATCAACCCTGAATACTCTTTGGAAGGACTGATGCTAAAACTTAAGTTCCAATATTTTGGCCACCTGATGCAAAGAGCTGATTCATTGGAAAAGATCCTGATGCTGAGAAAAACTGAAGGCAGAAGGAGAAGGGGATGACAGAGGATGAGATGGTTGGATGGCACCACCGACTCAATGGACATGAGTTTGAGCAAACTCTGACAGATAGTGAAGGACAGGGAAGCCTGGTGTGCAGTAGTCCATGGGATTGCAAAGAGTTGAACGTGACTTAGCGACTGAACAAAAACAGTAACATCTTTCCTGACATCATTAATGAAGAAAGTTCATCTTGCCATTTCCCATTTCTGTTCAGACAATGAAATCATCATGGTTTCCAATCCCTAATTCTTACCTCATTATGAGAGACAGAGAGGAGGAAGCACATTAGGAGAATTTGATCAAGAATCCGCTGCATTCTCCCTCTCTAAATTGCCTGGCTGCCCTTGCACAGAATTGCCATTTTAATCAAATTTCAGATCTCAGAAATTTCAGGTCCTCTTCTTTGTGGACTCACAAATGTGGAAATCTGAGTGCAAATAGAGTCTAATACAAATTGATGAAATTAGAAAAAGGGAATGCAGCTTTGTGGGCTTCAGAGATGTTTTAGCAGAGAGTTCAGGATCATATTTCACATATCTTGATTTGATTTAGAGGAAGAGGGGCTGGACATTCCTTGTTGTAACTTCTGCCAAATGTCTAAAAGCCCCTGTTCTGTGGCACATGCTTGCATTCCTCACCCTCACTATCAGGGGTCCTCCGTGTTGGAGCTCTGACATACCTATGCAGTTTGCTTTGCACTAATTTTGTCCCTCTTCCCCAGCAGACCCTGGATGATGGTTACTGTCAGTTACCAATATTTTTATACACCTCCAAAATTAAAGTCCTAAGTTCCAAAGATGAAAATACACAGATCATGCCTTCTAGGATTCCACACATTGAAGGGAAGAAACACATGGTGAAAAATAAAAGAGACAAAAGTTTGCAACAGCCACTAAGGAGGATGTCAAATACTATTGACTAAAGACAAGACAGCAGTGTTCAAAGTTCAGGGGACATTTAAAACTATAAACTGATAGTGATACGCATTGGTTCAGCTATTTTCTCTTCCCTTGGAAAGGATTGGCGACACAGACCTAGGAGGTGCTGATTATTTGTGAGTTAATTCATAAATAGTAATTTTTCATGATGATGAGGATGGGGAGTTAATGGTATAGAGGTCATGACATGGCTGAAAGAAAGGCTTTTCGGATGCAGCTCTCAGGGGAAGTGTTGGCTCAGAAGATAGGCTGTGACCATTTCAGGCAGAGACACACACCTGGGTGCAGACACAGAAGTTTGGCAAGACTGGGACTGGGGAGACAAGGACCATTCACAACCTGTGGTTTTGTATGATTAGAGGATGGGATTCAACTACCCTATGCTCTGTGAGTTTTGATCATGGTACCATTGGAAGTTGCCTGTATTTTTATCAACT